AGATTAAAGTGTAATCCGTGTTAAAAACAACCATTATCGGGTTTTTGCGGTGATGGTTTGTTTTTTGGCCGTGGGTTGATGGTGGAGAACATGAGGCGTCTGTGCCAACAGCGATGCATCTCGGTACATTCATTTGCTTTAAAGGAGGAGTGATTTATACAGAATGCAAGCAACCTGTGTGTCCATCAAAGGTTCATCTTAAATCACCTTTCTATTGTTTGATCAAAAGTATTCTTCTCGTTTCATTTTCTAATGACAGACTTCATAGCTCTGTTTAAGAACACAGCGCTCTGAAACATTGAAGGCAAATTGCTTCTTCGAAAGCGTCCGGTTGTTACTCAGAAACCCAGCTGGATACATGCTGGCTGTGATTGTTTGATAACTGCTCCGTCTCCATAAAAGCGTCTGTATGAACCGTAGAGGAGGGTCGGCATAGAAACAGCCGGCCGCCAGAGGAGGAGAGACGACAGTCACAGCTCCATCTCCTCCCCTCAGGCCCGACATACCCGACCCTGAGACAGGGACATTTCCCAGGGTAATGAAGATGCATCCGGAATTTCAAAACAACAAATAATCAATCAATATGCACATTATTCAATGATTAAATATCCATACATACATTGATTCATATGATATTTTAAGAAATTGTAATTGTAATTGCTGATGTGGTTGCCTTCCAAAGTGAGCCACACAAGTCAATACCTGCTCAATACATGGTTACATTATTTTCAAAATAAAAGAAGGAAACTTCTCTTTGCGGTTTAGGCAACGAGACTGCTTGGTTAGATCGAGGAAAATATGGTTGTTTGGGTTAAAATAACCACTGAAGTGCATCAACAACATTCATGCAAGTTACGCTTTTACGGGCTATATACTTCCTGGATGTAGATCATTCGGATGACAAACCAAATAGTTTCTTGGGATATTTATGAATCGTGAATGGCCGTGAATGCTGGATGAGACCTGCCTGAAGATGTCACACAGCCGTGGTTCAGAAGAGAGATTTTTTTGTCCGGGAACTCATTATCTCACCAGCGAGCTCATCACATGTAAATCCAAATGTCAAGGAGGCAGTGCAACATCAACACACAGACACACATGCAAACACAAATACAGAATTATTTGCTTTGCAAACCCATGAAAACACCCAACTGGGACAAGGACTTGACCTGTTGTTGCTAACTGGGACAGACGACATGAATGCTAAATCTGTGAAGTCCTCATGCACACACACATGTACACACACCAAAGATAGACAGTTAACGACTATTCAAAAGGTTAGTAATGATCAACAATGTGAAGTGAGGGACACTGTCGGGTTTTAATTATGGCCACATTAACGCTTTTTAACATTACCTACAATGTCTTCATCTGTCACTGCAGCGTGACAGTGATTTATATCTGCATCAGCAGCCATTAAACCAGGGAGGTCTATCAATGCGCTGACGTTTCTGTCCCAGCAGCCACAGCTGCACAGATTGTTGGTTGAGTAAACACTTCCACTCTGTGGACACTCAGGGTAACGTGTGTAACAGGTAGTATGCTGTTGAACTCGCTTTCAGAGTAATTTTATTTGTAGATTCAACGGTTGATAAAAACATTTTTATTCCACTGCATTGATGTTGCGAGATGGCTGTAGGAGGTTCTACAGCCTTACATGTTTAACACAACCGGCTCCTTTGAAATGGTCCATTCTTCTGACTGGCTGACCTGTGATCCTGCTCACCGGACCAGGCAAAAGGAACAGTCCATGTAACTCGTCCTCACCGAGCCTGTTCTTTGCCTTCTGCTGTTGTTGGAGACGAGGAGAGATTAAGGAGTGTGTTGGGATTGAATCTTTGAGGATCTTTTGATGTGAACGTGAACGCTGAGGAAACCTCAAGGTATTTCAAAGCGTCTCAGAGGGACGCCTCGCTTGCGTTGCTGTTTTCTTTATGTTTGCACGCTGGTTATGCTGGAAAAGCCTCGCTTCACACACGTAATATCAACAGAGACCTGTCGTCTCTATGGGATGCATGCAATACACCAACTCACATGTGTCATTCTATAAAAGGGAATCTTATTTTTTCCTGGAACAGTCACTATTTTGGTTGTTTAAAGGTAAATGTTGAGAATTTCTTTTTTAGTACTATGTTTAGGTACCTAAGCTATTTGTTCATAGGCAGTCGTATACAGTACCAATTATACCACTCATACCTTCCTTTGTACACTATGTAAAAAAGCACAGAATGTTATAAATATGTCACAGAAAGTATTTGATAATTGTCTTATTAAAGTAAAATAGGTAAACAAAAGGGTAAAAGTATAAAATGCCATAAAACATTATGAAAAATGTATAATGTATGGGCTAAAATGTAATGTATAACGCATAGAAACACATTGAAATTATCCATTCTACTGTATGCCAAAGAAATCACAGTACAGTATGTCATGAAAATGTAAATGCAGTACAGAATATGATTCATACTATAGTAAAACATTTCATACTATAGTGTGTCACAAAACAGCATAATATAGTATGGCTGAAAAAATATAGTATTGTATTTCAACAAGTGTCAGAGTATACTATGTTAAAAAATTCAGAGTAAAGTATTTTTACTATGTATTTTAAAAAAAGTGTGAAATTAAAATAAAATATGTAACAAAATGAATAGTGTGTAATCCAAACGTCTTTAGCATGACAAATAAAATATATTATAGTACTGCATATGAAAGTTAAAGTTAAGTCATCAAATGGTATAGTGAGTCATAGTGAGTCATGGTATAGTGAGTCATAGTGAATCATGGTATAGTGAGTCATTGTATAGTGAGTCATAGTGAGTCATGGTATAGTGAGTCATTATATAGTGAGTCATAGTGAGTCATTGTATAGTGAGTCATGGTATAGTGAGTCATTGTATAGTGCGTCATAGTGAGTCATTGTATAGTGAGTCATGGTATAGTGAATCATGGTATAGTGAGTCATAGTGAGTCATTGTATAGTGAGTCATAGTGAGTCATTGTATAGTGAGTCATAGTGATTCATTGTATAGCGAGTCATAGTGAGTCATGGTATAGTGAATCATTGTATAGTGAGTCATAGTGAGTCATTGTATAGTGAGTCATAGTGAGTCATGGTATAGTGAGTCATTGTATAGTGAGTCATAGTGAGTCATTGTATAGTGAGTCATAGTGATTCATTGTATAGTGAGTCATTGTATAGTGAGTCATAGTGAGTCATGGTACAGTGAGTCATTGCATAGTGAGTCATAGTGAGTCATGGTATAGTGAGTCATTGTATAGTGAGTCATGTGAGTCATTGTATAGTGAGTCATAGTGAGTCATTGTATAGTGAGTCATAGTGAGTCATGGTATAGTGAGTCATTGTATAGTGAGTCATAGTGAGTCATTGCATAGTGAGTCATAGTGAGTCATGGTATAGTGAGTCATTGTATAGTGAGTCATGTGAGTCATGGTATAGTGAGTCATAGTGAGTCATTGTATAGTGAGTCATAGTAGTCAAGCTCTGTTTATTGGCCTCCACCAAGCCCTCAGAGTTCTTCTTTTTTGTGTGTTTTACAACCAACTGTGACTCCTCCAGCTTACTTATCTGCATATTTGTATAAAGATACAAAAATAAAGTGATTGGTGACGAATAGAAGGGGAAAAAACAGTTAAGCGTGAAACCATCATGTACGCGAGCGCTCACTCAGTAGTTTGCCGCTGATTACCGGAGTCATGTTGTGCTCCTTCCGCCATTCCTCCAGTGGTTATCAGTGATTTTACCTTTGTAATCAGAGGGGGGTTATACATTTACTGGTTTCACTCGCAGGATCAAAGACACAGCTGTTCTAGGAATAATCAAATATAAACACATATCAAAAATAAAGGCCTGAGCTGTCGTAACAGGACATACTCGTCTTTTGTGTCCCTTTAGGACAGGGGTCTCAAACTTGCGGCCCGCGGGCCAATTGCGGCCCTCGGGCCGATATTTTGTGGCCCCATCCTTAATATGAAAGTGTAATGTTAGTGCGGCCCGCAAGTTTTATACGGTAACCCCACTGTCAGCTGCTGTGTGGGACATGTTATGATGTTCTGGTTTCCTACTGTGTGCTTGTCCAGTGAACGTGGCATGCATGTGACTGACATGGGGGGCGGGTCGTGTGTGTCGGCCGAGGTGCAGAGAGCAGGAGGGTGAAATTCAGTTTCCTGCCCTCTTTCGCGCAGGTGATCATGTGACTAACCGTTAGCATCGCTCGTTTAATAAAGTTTTTCTTTACGACTCACACTAACAACACATGAAGCATCTGACGTCACCGACGAGCGTCTCCGTCCATCACTACGCAGCTTCGATTCACGTAACTTCACGTTTGGCTATAAAGGAATTCCACGGTCACATGACCTTAGGTCTCCCCCGCTGAGTTAAAGGAGGACTAGTGTTGTAGTCTCATTCGGACCGATCCCCCAGGGTGGGGTTCAATGACTGCTTTTGAAAGTGAGTGTTAAGTTGTGTTATTGTCGACCATGCCGTTCGGACGCTAGTCTGGCCCGCGTTCGGTTGAAGTGGGCTGCATCTGGCCCGCAGCTGATTTGAGTTTGAGACCCCTGCTTTAGGACAAAGGTCTAAACTTGCAGCCCTCTGGGAGATATTTTGTGGCCCCCATACCTCAATATGAAAGTTTAATGTTAGTGCGGCCCGCAAGTTTTATATCGTAGCAACGACGCTTTGTGGCTGCTGGGTGGGACAATGTTGTGATGTTCTGGTTTCCTACTGTGTGTCTATCCAGTGAATGCGGCATGCATGAGCCGGTCGGACCGTCGGCGCCCCGCACCTGAATTGAGTTTGAGACGCCTACTTCAGGAGGTGCTGCTTTAAACTGTGTGCTGATGATTTATATTTGTATAACTTGTCATTCCTAGTTCTGAAAGGGAAAAAAAGTTACTTACTTATTTTTACAATACAGAATTTACTGTGAAATATGCTAAAAGGGTGTTTGCATGAAGAAAGTCTCACAACAAAATACACACAGGTAGTTTTAATTATATTTAAAGAGATTAGTTGAAAACGGTTCCATTAATGTTCAGTGAGTATATGTGAAAAGTAAAACAGGTACTTCTAAATGCAGATGAATATTTATACACTGAGAAAATGAAGATACCTAAACAATGTTGTAGTTTATTGATATTTGTTCTTGTTATACTTTTGTATGTGAACGGCTGCTGGTACGTCTGTGTTTCAGGTGGTAAATGGTAAATGGCCTGTACTTGTATAGCGCTTTTCTGACCACTCAAAGCACTTTAACACTACACGACATCATTCACCCAATAAACCCTACAGGAGCAATGTTTGGGTCTTGCCCAAGGACACAACGACATGCGGGTTAGCCGGGCCTGGGATCGAACCCACAACCCTCTGATTGGAGGACGACCGTGCTCCCCACTCACCCACAGTCGCCACAGGTGCATTTCCCATGTTATAATATTAATTTGTTTATATTAAAAAAAAATTAAAACCGTATTGTACATTTTTGTGATCCAAGTCAAATTGTGGAATCACTTAACCTAGAAACCAAATGTGGCTTTTGGGGGTGTTTGCATTGCAACTGCCTGAATACATCCCAGACACCACAGAAACTATGGAATAGTAAATACTGGTAAAACCAAACGAATATGGACCCTGTAAATCCTAGATTAGGTAGCAATATTCATAAAGCTAGAAGTAAAAAAATAAGATTAAAATACTTACTCGCAGACAAGGAGTTTAAACTAATGTTAGAAAAATATGACAAAACGAAAAGAAGTGATGAGAACATTAATGTTTACATTTCACTGTCGAAAGCAACCACTTTTTCATGTTTTGTCGAGACGTATATAGTTCTTTAATAACTCAAAAATTACTCAGAGTAAATATATTCCTGAAAAACTGTACTTATACATGATAATATTCTAATCACATGTAATAAATAACGTTTGGTGACACCATGAACTACACTTGTGATTGTAAAAACTGAATTTTGGTTTCTGATCAACTCTTGAAATGTCTTTGTGTATTTCGCGTGTCGCACCTTTTATGAAACAACGTCTTTAAGAGCAAATAGAAGAGGCGGAAAAGATTACGTGTTTGTTGGTCACAAACGAACCCTCTCTCACACGGAGCAGACGGACGAGAGGATAAGACGCTTCAGGTGGAGTGGGACAAACAGACACACCGTGCCGTACAGTCCTGCGACTCACATTACGAATCATGTGAACAGCAAATGTCAAAGCAAAGAACCCGAGAGAGGCCGTCAGACCTTCTGCTGCCCCCAGGAAAACAACACGCCTAGCAGGACGCACTGCCTGGAGGAAGACGGGTTCAGCCGTGGTCGCGGTGTGAGTGGGAGCGGGGGTGCAGTAGGGAGGGGAGGTTGATGCCACAGAGGCCTTTAGAGGTCTCAGTCCGGCTTCTTGACCCGGTCAGAGACCAAATACTCCCCGGGACACTCGCCGGCCCGCCCGCGGATGGGTGCAACGGCTTTTCAGACGAGGCGGACGAAATCAGCTCGGGGTCTCTTCGGATTTGGTCGGCGGCTCGAGACTCTCGCCGACTTCCCCCAGGTCGTCCAGCAGCTCGGCGAACGCCGGCCGCCGGAAGGACTCCACCTGGGTGGAGGAGAGGACGGTGCTCTGTGAGGCCGCGTCAACTTCAGATTCACAGGAGGATGCACGAGAAAGATATCACTTCTGTGGTCTTTTACCTGTGGTCAAGGTCACCTGCAGTTTTACTGATTTGATCATGAGACATTTTTTTAATTTGAAATAATAAAATCATTATATATATATAAATACAAACAGGCGTGTACCTTTTTTTAAATACCTAGTTTTTTGTAGCTTTACTGTCATATGATTATTATTATTTTCATGTGTTGGCTCTTCCGCTACATCTACCTACCAAACAGCAGCTGGCCGCTAACTCCAGGAGACGCTGCGGACAGTCGTTCACCAGCTGCCTGAACTCCTCCACATCCAGCCCGTAGTCCTGAGAGACAACACGGCCGAGCGTCAGCGCACAACGACGTGTCAGCGTAACACCCCCGGGTGCTGCACCTGCACCGATGCAGGCTGTCTTTGTCACAGCGAAGGGTGAGGTAATAACAGCTCGTTTACACAACATACCACATGCCGTCTGTTGTGCGCCAAACATAAAGCGGGTTTGGCGAGGTCATTATAAAAAAAAAAAACTGCTGACTGTCACATCTTCGTACTTTATATTTTTTCCATGTTTTTTTTAAATGGACTTTGTAGGAAATTGAATCATCTCCTGCTGAGATGAGAAGATGAGAAGATGATCACAATCACGTGTTTAGAATGGAGCTAATGTCTCTTAAGCTCAATTATTAACACAATAAATGTTGCTGGTTTAGCGTTTCAGCAACAGAAATAAAGATGACAACCAGAGACACTGGCACCCTAAGATGTTTCGAGCATATTCCTACATTTTGGAGTTAGCCATAAACCGCGTATCCCGCTTTCCAGTTGTTATGACAACAACAAGCAAACACAGAATTCAAAACTCCAGCTTCACTTACAAGATCTTTTCTCCAGAGCTTTCCAACACTTTTGAGAATGTTTAAAAGCGCTCCACATATCGAGCCACTTGCTTTCATCATGTGACCATGTGAATCAGTAGTGACCCATGAGAAAGTTTTTCTTTAAGTTCAGGTCATTTTTTTGCTTAGGTTTCATTACGATGTGAGGTCTCTTCTGTGATGAAGGGTTTCTGATGCATCTCTACCTGTGTTCTGGGTAGTATCTCGGGGTCGGCAGAGATCCGGGCCAGGATCTCACACAGCACGATCCCAAAGGAGAAAACATCCACCTGGAATGAGTAAAAATAGTGGGGTCGACTGCAAAGAAATCCTGAACAAATTGGTTACTTTGATGCGTTGGTTACTGATTTAAAAAGCAAAATACCATTTATTTATCATTGAATTCAGTGAAATCTCCAAGGAAGTTTGACATCTCGTCTGTTTTTAGACTCAATACCTGTTCACATGACTATATGAGGACAAATGCGAGTGATCTTAGCTTGCACTGGTGTACATCTAACAACAAACAATGTTGACACAACATGTATGTGCATCCAGCTGGACTGATTGTGTGCGTGTGTGTGTGTGTGTGTCGGCTACCTTGCGGTCATACAGTTCTCCTCGGAGCATCTCAGGGGCCATCCAGAAGGCCGAGCCCACCAGTGACAGCTTCCTGCCGGGGTCCTTGACTGGCAGCTCCACCACTTCCCTGGCCAGGCCGAAGTCAGTGACCAGGGCCTCCCGACCCCGAGACGTCACCCGGATGAGACAGTTCTGGACGAGAACGGACAGGAGAGAAGAAAAGAAGGTAAGTCAAACAACCGCAGTGTTATGTCTTACCACCAGAGGGCGCTGCGGGGTTTGAAATATGGCGACGCAGTCAGCATCAGCAGCTCATCGTCTGCAATTGTCCTGATCTTTGAATTTGAACGACTGCGGTGTTAGCGGGTGTTCCCCGGAGAATGAACATCCAGCTGCCCTCCAGTCTCCCCTCTTATCGGCCCGTTCAATAGGGTCCGTTTCCAGGACACTAAATAATTCACCCAGACCCCATGTGGAGGAGTCAGTGTGGCTGACTGTGTGCTCCTGCAAAGGGCAGCCTCCATCACACCGACTGGCCGGCTGTCATCAGATTTATATAATCATATCTCACAATGGTTCCCATAATATTTTGTTATTTTTTATCATTATTAATAATCCCATAAACAATCCTGTCATTTGCATAATATCCTCTATGGTCTTTGTGTCTCACAGTGCTTCAAAGAACAGAAGAGAATGAAACGGTTTTTAATGAGACCTTCTGAATGTCTGTGGGTGAAGAAGAAGCGTGGGTCACAGACTCCACGGGCCGAGAGCTGGAGGTGTGATGAGAGACAGCGTGGGAGCGCTCAGGTTGCGTAACAAAAGGTGGGTGGACCCCAATGTGTGTCTGAGTGTATAATGTACGTGTGGGCTGTTGATGCGTGCGTGTCATTGCCACCGAAAGGGCCACAAAATGAATGTCTTTGACTGAGAATGTTTGTGTGTCGGCAAGTATCTGTAAATCTGTGAAAAGGTTCTGTGTGTGGAAGCGGCGGTCTCTCCATCTGGCTCCCATTGGCCCACAAGCCTTTTTCCATCCAGTAGCTTGTCATTACCAGGCTCTCCTGGGAAAGCATTACGTCCCAGTCCCACACTTCCACTCTAAATGTAGCCCTCGCCCCCCCCTGGCAGGGAAAGCAACAGTTTGGGGGAACAGAAATGGGACGTGTTAGCAGATATGGAGGGATAGGTGCTAATTAAAAAAGGGGCCCCTGGTTTTCCAGGAGCTTAAACTCTGGTCTGATCTGCCAGAGGCTTTACATGTCCAGCTACTCCAGAGTGGACGACTTAAACCTTTTCTACCCAAAAAGTGTTTGGGAGGAATCTGACACAAATTCCTTTCATGTAGGTTCCCGTTGTTTGATTGTATGGGTTGATGCACGTGTTGGAATTAAAGCAAGGACCATGAGCAATGAGTCAATTCCATTACTAGCTTTCATTCCCACTGCAGCTTTATCTAATCTAATATAGCTCATATTCAAGGTTGGAAACAGCTAGCAGTCAAGGTGGTTCAAGGATCAACTTCTGTATTTTCAGTCCTTATTTTCCATTGTTTTGTGTGACTTTTTGAAATGCAACGAAGGATGGACGAGACGTTTTACACTCTCCTCCCGACTGACATCAACAAGAGTTTGATCAACAGATGGTTCCCCCAATCACCTTCCATGTAGCTTCTAAGAGGGCCCGCCCTTACAACATCTCATAATAGTTTACAACTGCCTGTCTAACAACCATCTGGTGGACCGGGTTGAAAATAACAGACTTTACTTTTAAAACTTAATCAATTGATTTTATTTTTTAAAAACAAAACAACACCAGCATTTGTCTGGACTCGTGTTTCCAGACCTCCTTGTAACTGCCTTCCTTAGTTGTGTGACTCCGTCAGCATAATTGATTCAATTATCACCATTCACCAGGGGCCGACATCATCTGGAGCTGGACCGTGACGTAAGTCAACTCGGGCCTCCGAGTGAACAAAGTGACCGGGGACAAAGCCAGAGGAGTTGCCTTGGAGTGACGAGCGTGGTGAGACGACCCCCCCCCCTCCCCCGCCCCCCCCCCCCCTTCACCCTCACCCTCACCTCCGCCGCCACAGTTCTCACATCACAACATGTGAACACAGCGGTTTAGTTAGCAACCATCTATCAACATGACAATAGAGCGGCTGTCACCAGGCCTCCGGTCGGTGCGTTGCTGGCTGTTTCTCCTGTGAAGCCTGGCAACCGGAAGAGACAGACAGCACCTACGCACAGTGCGCACGCACACACCAACACACACACACACACACACACACACGTGCGTATGAAGGCATGAGATTCAGAAATCGCTTCATGGTTGTTTCATAATGGCATAATTTTTTTCTGTCATTTTAAGAGAAGAAAGTAGAAAAAAATGACTTTTTCAAATGTTATACCACCCAGTTTATTTTATCTTGTATTGAGAACAGAAATCTGTGCAAATCTTTGTGCAAGCTGCTTTCTTCCAATGGTTGACAGTCAGGAAAGGTGCTCCTTACTTTTATTATTTTACTATTTTTTTGCATAAACTCCGGGTCTCATTTGGTTTTCCTTTGGAAAAAATCCAAAGAATTTGGTAGTCAAAGACACCACAAACAAACCACAAACAACATTCGTCGTGAAGAAAATGTTTCCCGGGAGGGTCTGGGTTCGCTAAAACTATGTTCTTTCAGCTTTGCTTCGGTCTTTCAAAGCATAATCATCCCTCATCAAGAGTTCTTGATGCTTGGCTACGGTTTTTGCGTAGCCTCCTTCAAAGTTAGAATCTCAGGACAGAATGGACCAAACGCTAAAGTTCACTGCACTCCCACAGTCCAAAGACATGCGGGGCGGGTTGATTGGTCATTCTAAAATCGCTTCCTCCTAAAAAAAAGTCCTCCACTGACAGGTTGGTCTCCTTTGTCAAAATGTGGTTCCTACATTACCCAAATTGCAACTAAATTGACGACAGTTTGGTCGGATACTCAGTGGTGGCTGAGTCGGGACGACTGTGGTTCAGAGTCAGAGCGGGTCGTCTTTTCAGCAGAGGATCGGCGCTTTTTGTATGAATTCACTGCGTAAAGGTTGTGTGAATGTTAATTGGTGCCGATGGCAGGTGGAACCTTACATGGTAGCTCACACGATCGGTGTATGCAAGTCCAGTCCATTTAGCATTTAGTGTTGTGCTAATAGCTCTTAGCCACAGATGTGTTATGTCTTGAAGTCCAACCAAAACTGAGTCAAGTGACATAACTTTAGAACATCGACCAGACCTTCCTCTGGAGACTATGGAGTTACATCCCCCTAAAAGTCCCCTCTGACACTCATTTGATTGAAAAATGTCAGGATTTCAAGGCACTAAAATACAAATAAGCGGAAGCAGTTCCCCTCTGATTCTCGGCCCATACAATCTTTTTCAGAAATGTACAGGCAGCCATTACAAAGAATAAAGTAAACTACCAACTAACAGCAATGAAACAATACGCAATATCAGACCAAACTGTGAGAGTTGGTTGAAAAACCCCTGCAATAATAAAATTATATATGATAGCGCTGCTTGCAATCTTCCGTAACAGGAAAAAAGAAAGTCTGATGCAGTTGGGACAGTCTTTTGGGATCAGACCACTGCGACTAACTGAAGCACACCGGCCCCGTACATTTACCGTGACGGAGGACGGACGAGACGCCACAGGGACTCACTATCGCCACTGGAGGCAAAGTGGTGGTACAGTGGTGGCTAGTTAGCACGCTAGCAGCAGCGTTTCTTCATAGACGTCTCGACACGATGTTACCACTGTAGTCTCTTCCCAGGCTGTCGATAATACGAGCTGAAGTTGTGAATGCTTTAAACTTCGATATGAAAAACTGACGTGTTGATCTGGGCTTGATTATAAACTGAATGGGTCCGTGCACAACAAGATGGTATTTTTAGAAACAGGTACTGTGAATGGGTACTATTAATGTTTTCCTGTTTGCCTTTACATAAAAATATCAATCAATTTGAAAGTAGTTTGTTCTAAAAAAGATGGATTCAGGAGAGATGAATGCCAGAAGACACTTAACACAACTTGTTGTGTCTTTATGAGATCGGTAATGGGAAAGAGATGGAGAATAAAATGTCCTCCCCTTATCTTCTCGAACCCCACGGGTTCATTTTTCACAAGCAAAAATGTTTAAGTGAGGCATTTTTGGGGAATTATAGCACTTCTCAAGTCCTCCACGGCGTTTATCAGCGACAGTGCATGCCGCTGTGAGGTCCACGAGGAGGTGGTGGAGAGATGAGGTGAGACTTTAATGATCCCTGTGGGGATACTGGACCTGAGTGACAGGACAGAGCGGGACGGGGACCGAGGTGCTTACCTTGGAGTTAAGGTCTCTGTGGTAAATGTTCTTGTAGTGCAGGTAGATCATTCCTCTGCTTATATCACAGGCCAGGTCAACCTTCTCTCTCCAGCACAGGGGAACATCTTTCTTAGCCAGAAGCTCCTCCAGACAGCCACCATTTACATACTGCCAAAGGCAACACATACCAGGTCACACACAGCGTCACAAAACACACAAATCCAAACTGAGCAGGCAAATTATGACGTCGCACTTGTTGAGATCCAATAAACGCTTTCTATTTTTGTATCACAATCAACTCCTATCAGTGTAATCTGTCGGGTTTTTCGCCGGCCTGCGAAACATGCACATAGGCTACACTATAACTCACTAGGTAAAGTAAAAAGTACATTTTATCATTATAAAAATGTGTATATATATATATAGGCAGGTGCAGGACTCACCTCTAAGATCGGATATAGTTTGTCCTCTTTGACACAGATTCCCAGATATCTAGAAAGAGAGAAGATGTGTTTATTTCTTCTTCCCGACTTCCGAGTTGAGCTTCTCAAGAAGATGTAGAATGTATTGTTTGCATGCCAACGCGCTGAACTAAAATGTTCAGCAAGGTAAATATCATCCTTGCTTAGCATTAGCATCTTGGCTTAGTCAAAGGCTGCGTGTTAGCATTTAGCCCAAAGCACCACGGCACACCAGTGTCACAGAAGCTGAAGCCGCACTGGGAGCACGCTTACCTATTAGCAGCCGTACAATATGCTAAATAAACGTTAACTTGGATACAGCATCCACCAGTCGGGTTCTCATACCTACACCTTCCTACGTTGCTTCTGGCTGGAACCCAAGAGGCGGTTCAATTCTAATGAGGACCTCTAAAAACGGGCCCTAAAGACAGCTGGTTGTTGTAGTTTAATGAAACAAGGTGAAATGATGTACTAATGTTTTCAGGTTGGTTCATGGTAATGAAGGAACAATGCGACGGCGAGATTCATGTACATTTTACCTAAGTTAATATTTGGATTCATTTTGTATTGGAATTTTCTGAGAATCAAAAAAATAAAGCAAATCTTCAGACATATCCTTTAAGAAAATCTAATTAACGACAAAATAAAATAAAATAAAAATATGATTCAGCACACAGTTTGGGACAGATGTCTTACATCAATCTACGATGTTTGAAGATGTAACAATATATAAACATTTAGCTCAGTTTTAAAACCTTGAGTGTGCGTGACTGCGTCCTTTTCATACTGTCGATTTTCAAACATATTCATTTCATTCAGACGGGTCAACACCTGATCGCAGTTTACAGTATCATGAGCTCATATGCAGAAGAACAATATGGCGTAGGGCCCTGAGAACAATGCACACACACGCAGTGTTTGCTTTCAGCCCACGCAGCCAGACGTGGTTGGTGTGTGTGTGTGTTTGAGCTTGCAGACACTATGGGCACTATGAGCAGATAAGGTTCTCTCTGATAACCCGACCTTGCTAAATGCCCAAAACCAGATTGCCCGAGCAAACATGATGTCCCCCTGGTTTCACACCTTATGTAACTGCTGTAGCTGACGGGGCCAACGTGGAATAGCACCAAGGTCTCATTAAAAGCCTCGTTGAAAGAGGTGTCATAGTGCGCAGGGCTTGAGGCTGTATCCTCATCATGTAGTGCGCTCGTAGAGGTGGCAGCCCCAGCGACAACTAATCACGTTGGTAAGCTAACGTTAACCAATCACATTAAAAGGGTATTAAGTATTGCTAAGAAGCTAAAAAGAGTCTGTGTTGTGTGTGGGAGAGTGTCGGGCCTGTAGAAGGGGAGAACAGAGACAGCGGACAACTTGGCTTTAGTAGAATATGGACAAAAGGCAACGCGGGAAGAAGAGGGACATGGGTGGAATGCTACCTGACGATGTTGGGGTGGGAGAGTTTCTGCAGCAGGCTGATCTCACGCACGATGCTGTCTTGGTCAACGTCGTTTTTGTAAATCTTCACCACCGTCACCTTGCGACTGGTGTTGTGCATCACCTGAAAGACATTGGCGTCCATCAGCAACAGTGGACTTGGGAGAGCCAATAGCAGTTGGTCAATATACGGCGGAAATAGTGGGACAGAAGTAATATTCTAAAAGTGTGTATTGGAAAAAGATTCAATTGGAACATGGAAAAATTGGTCTTGATCAATCTCATTTGCTCCCATCTCTAGGCCATCCTCTGGCCTCTTTCTAGCTCACTTCATCTGGGACAAGGCCTTAATGTATGAAAATCAGCTCCCCCCCTGGGGCTCCTCTCCAGCACCGGTGGTGTCACATTAGGAGTTATATAAGGTCTCATCTGAGGATGATTATTGCGCCCCCACAGTCCCCAAAGCCGGCGGGCCCGTAACGGAATGGAATGCCCCAACTAGGCATTTGGAGCAAAGCAAGCTTTGATGGCAGCTCACAAGTAGGCCGGCAACATACCTTGTAGACCTTGGAGAAGAAGCCGCTCCCGATCAGCTCGGCGGTGAAGTTCTCCCAGAACTCCAGCTTGCGTACGGCGGTGCGGAGCTTTTGCCAGCGGTCCGCATGGTAATACTTGTCTGAGGACTCTCCGTAGAGGGTGGGACTGGTGGGCTCCGGGGAAAGGTCGACATCACACATCCTGGAGATGTCCGCTGGGACAGTAGAAGAGAAATGGACACAGGTTAGGCTGAAGAAGCGAAATGGATCACATTTAGCTGGAATTATTCCATTTGTTAGGGCAAAGGACCAACGGCTTCTTATTTTTGTTAGTTCCTCTTTGGTGGAATGTGAGGGTTTGAGACCCGGCCGAATTGTTGAAAACTGCTGAGCCAAAACAAAGCAGCACCCTGAAAAAACCTGTTTATGGCAATGCACTTTATTTGGAATATAATGTTGATTTTTCTTTTCAATTCAGATGCTCAGAGATTTTGGGCTAGAAGCTGCCATTGCAAATTTATATTTGTAATTCATACAGTTGCAACGTAGGAAAAGAAATACATGTTCAACTGTCGTTATTAGTAATAACATTTAAAGGAAAATGGAATTGAAAAAATGATGAGCCCTTTGGAAAAGCTCATCATGACAGCATGCTCTTACTCTTAAAACAATGATTTGGTTTATATGAACTCACTAATATCTGACATTAATACAAACGACTGTGAACCGAAAGAGCAATTTATGCGTTTATGAGCATGAATGGATGAAAGAGGGGCTCACAAAAGGTCTATTTCCACTCTCCCACTTACTAGCTGCACGGATGAAGGAAAGTGCTTTACACTTTACAGAGTGAAACAAAGGTGGTGAATAATGAGCGGCTCAAAACAAAAGGCAGAACGGACGGATAACGAAGGCTGGACACTGAACTCAGACATTGTCCACAGCGGTCCAGAGAGCTGCCTGTCCCCAAGAGACGGGGCCGTCTCATCCCTGACGAGAGCTCACTTAAAACACACATTGTGTGGATAGAACGGAGAAAATCGATATTCAAGTCAATGGGTTGGAGGAGGTTGCATTCAATTACTGGTCTCATCCCGCAGCCCTGGCGATACCAACAAATAATACCGACACATCCTTTTGAACGAGGACAAGGCCGTAAAGACGGGACACGTCTGTTCGATCCCCAAAGTCCATGTTGATGTTTTCACCAGAGCATCTCATAGACGTCCGTTCCGTCAGGGAGACGGCTTCACTGCTCTCTCTTACGAGCAACAACCCTGAAGGTCAGAGTTTGTTTTGCCACAACAACGGCCTCTCTCGCCGCGACGCTTGGCGGAAAGCACACAACCACACGGCAACACAATAAGGCATGTTTTTCGTCAATCAAGCCGGGCGGAATCAGACCCGTCTATTCATTCAGCTCTTGTGTTCATTCGGCTTTCGGACTAAAAAACAGTCGTCGCGCTCTCGGCTCTAACGATGTCAGAGAGAAACGCTTAGAGTGCAGCTCTGTCATCCAGCTGTCTCTGTCTCTGTCTGCTTGCTGTTGACTCAACCCTTTGTCCTTCTCTTTATCAATAGTACTTCAAAAGCTGCAGCTCCTGGAGGGTTTTTTGTCACCACTTTGGGAGCTGAAACATCACGTCGTTGTGCACATCTAACGCTTCATGTAACTACGATCTCGCTTGAGCGCCGTTTATGGGCTCCACCCGTTCCTGAGCAATATCTTCATATGAAACCGATGCCCGAGAGTCAGAACCAGAAAGCCGTGAATCCGCCCTGGCAGCAAAATACTTTTTCTGACTGAATTTCTGAAACTGAAAGATGGAAGTGTATGTTATAAAGTACCAAAAGAAACAAAAGCACAAAGCAGATTGTAGAATTTGGTAGAACATCCTTTGAGCGGTTGTATAAGGATACGTGGAATTGGGAGTCCTCCCACCTCTATTTAAAGTCAGATGAATGTATTTCACGTCTTTTAAAGGAATTATGCTTCCTGCAAAAACGTTTTCACGGTTCTGTTTCACACGTTCTGCAGTTTTTGTCACCTTCATTGTTTCCTCCGTTTCTCTAATTTAATTTCCTTTTCCCCCCTCTGCTATTCAGCCGTTCCCGCCTTCCCAGTTAGCTCAGTCCAACCAGCACACGGGGACCATAATGACCACAGGCTGTAACAGACACGGGTTTCCCATCTGTCACATCGCTCTGTGCATCGGGAACATTCTGACTGGCTTTACCGCTCGTCATGGTCTCCTTTTAGACAACATAATACAAATCTGGCGGCACATATCGGCAGCTCCATACTGCCGGGACTTAAATCGGCGTGTGCCGTCAACAGTGATTCATTTGGCTGCCGCGTTGACAGCTCTGACTCAGATTTCTGGCGCGTGAGCCAAGTCGTGATTCTTCAACAGCTTTATGTTTTTTTTTCCTCCCCTCACATGGGAAGGTTACACAAGCAGCGCGCGGGAAATATGCCCGTTCCGCGGCAAAGCGCCGTTATCACAACCCGCCGTGAGTTTGACCCGCGTCTGACCACAGGCACCGCCAAGGGGATATCAGGGGAGGCCATCGGCGCACTGACGTCCTCCCGGCTGATAAGGAATGCTGCTCGGGAAGGTCTCACAGTGAAAACCTTTTCGCACCGAAGCAGGATTTCACCTCCCAGAGTTCCACTTCTGTCCACAAAACATCCCAATGTGTGTGTGTGTGTGTGTGTGTGTGGTGTCGTTCCCTTGACTGTGTCACACGCCAAGTGATGCCGGTAAGAGCTGGGCTGTCTGCTTTTCTGATGTACTGTACATTCCATGGGACACATCCTGACATAACAGCAAACAGGAAACCAACGCCGACAAAGTCTTTCATAAAGAGTCGGCCTCTGAGCCGCAGTGACTTCAGGCGTAAAGTATGTGCGATGTGAGCGACTGGGCCTCAGCTGAGCGTTAATACGCCTTAACAGCCCGTTAGTCGTCGCTGAGGTTGAGCACTCAAAGTGGCCGGAGCCAAGTTGCGGTATCGCTTGGGTGGATTTTCCAGAGCGAGGTGATCGGGCCCCGCAGCACCGTGCGCTGGTCTTCTGAAGGAGGAGAACGCAGCGGAGCGGTCGACTGCATATCCGTGAGGATGAGTTACGCCATTGATGCAGAACATTAGCAACGTGTTTAAGACCTTTAAAGCTCGAAATACAAAGCTTTGAAGGTCTTTTTGTTGAGCTAAGCTAGCTGGCTCATAGTTTTGATTACAGTGTGTCACCTCGTTTGCAGCGGAAACTCAGTTCCATTTGAAATATGTTCAACCTAAAAACATATATTTCAATGGTACTTAATGTTCAATTCACGGACGCTCTTCAACAGCTCGGCTCTCTCCGAGGTCTTTCCTTGGAGCAATCACTTAACGCCCCTTTACAACGGGTATCATACATTCTAGCGACGGTTATTAGCTACTTATTACAAGCGACTATGGCGAATTCAATCCGATTACTTGCTTTAGCTTTGGCGTTTGAGGAGGAGGGTGTTGTGTTTATGGCTGCATGACAGATCCACTGATCTGCTCCCAGACGGACTCTCTGTATCTTTTGTGACTCATGTCATACGACTCTAAGGTAGCAGGTCGCGTACCTACTCTCCTCGTCCTGATTGGTCAGCTGCCACAAAGGCACATGACGTCACCCAAATTCTCCAGAAGGCGTCCTTCCCCCATCTTTTACCCAAAGGGTTGCATGTAAAAAAAGAAGAAGTAATGTGTGAAGACGCCCTAACACGTCGGATGCTGAGCGTCATGCGGGTGGAAGGAGAAGGCGGCATGTGGTCGTGGTTCTAATGTGCTCAGCACTGGGGAACACCGACTAATACCACGGGGAATTGGTAGTGTGGTTTACTGTCGCCCCTCCACCCCCGAGCGTCAAGGAAGAACACGTCACATCAGCGATGTGCGGAGGGGCTTCACACGGGGGAGGGTGGTGGGGGTTAAGGGGTAGTAGAGGAAGAGGGGGGCGTATTTTTCCTCTTGGTTGTAGGGAAATCAGTGCTATAAATCAAGGAGTATTTCAACTGTTTGCTCACTGTTTATTTACGTTTAGTAATCGTTCTTTAAGCAGCTCTTGGTTTAAAGTAATTGCAATGATTGCATCAGCTTATTACTGTATATCAAGTGTTCTTTTTTTCCATGGCTTGATAAATTGATGCTTTTTTAACATGCACTTCTGGTGGTTATAAATAAACCTTTATTGTCATTATGATCGATATTAGATCACCGAACACCTAAAGCCTTCAACTAATTGAATTATTAAGTCAGTCAAAAGGCTGGACAGTACAAAAATATGTCAGATATTCTTCCCTCTGGTACCCTCTGTTTCTTCTGTGAAGAGAAACACTGTTTGAGAACAACGTGCCGCTTGTAGAGATGTGCGAGTGGGCTGCAAAACACTGCTTGAGGTCGTGCAAAATAATGACGCAGCACAATGTATCACTGTCCCTTTTTCGACAGCCTACTGCACCACAAAGACCGCAACCATAAACCCAGCCAGTGTTTGAGGCTCGCTGTTTGTTCAACTTCGTGCTATGCAGGAAACATGTAGCCGGGCACCAAAAAGACAAGCGGCATGCATTCCTGAATGTGGCATCTCAACCATGTCAACGTCAACATGGCACAACAGCAGTAGCTGTAATACCGGTTGGGGGCTGAAGCCAGGTATCAGCCCGCCAACCCCCGACCCCGCCAACCCCCGACTCTGAAGTTAAAAACTCATCTACAAACGATGCTGTAAAACCTGGGTTGATTTTCATCTTTTCATCAGTGATAAAGTGTGTACTAATTCACCAAAATTCAGACCGATTCCTGTAAAGCTCCCATATAAGTGTGTTTGATGAGAAAATGAGAGGGCGCAGCCCCAAGGAGCTCACTGGCAGCCACCCCCAACATTAAAGAGCGGTGTGGTATTGAGTTACTCCCAAACTCCCCATGCAAAAAATAATAGAAGCAAAACGGGTGAGACGTCACAAAGATGCCGAGAGGCGAAGCTCAGAGGATCGGTCAGTATGGTGGGATTATTCTCGGCGTGGCCGGGGCTGAAGGCCCAGAGGCCTGTAAATGATTGAGCTCATTACAACGCAAACAACCAGAAATACAATTCTATTCCACTGTTCTCACACAAACATACGTCATTACATTCATTTGATATGATTTAGTATCATATATACTATTTCTAGACGTTAAAGACATTCCTCTGGGTTTTGATTCATTTCATATACGCCTGGTTCTCCGTATCATTTTGTCAGACGCAGGTGTTTGCCTTGGGCCGGGATCTGAACAGTCTCACACCTTTTTGTGCGTCTACATCAAACATTTGTGCGAGCTGCGCCTCGTTATGTTAGTCATACTTAGCACCGTGCTATTTAGTGAGCCCGAAAAGCATTTCGCAATACGTCGTGCGTCAAATGCAATGTGCCAAATAATTCTAGGATGTTCTGCAGAATGCAAACGAGCATGTTTGTCTGGCTATCCCGAGCAACAATCCTTTGCATGGCAGATGTATAAGCAAGAAGGAACCGTTTAAGGTATGTTACATAGGCAATAGTGCACGCTTTGTACGATGTGCAGTGCAGTTTGCACTAAAAGTAAAAATGTAAAAGTGTGCGATGTGGAATTACATTTTAATGTCAGGAGGTCTGTGTTCTTCTCCCTGCTGCGGCCTCACGCCTCAGTGTGTTTTAGTTTGGCTGCTTATAAAAACATAATTCAGGGATATTTACCCTGTTGGTGGTGCATCCCACCACAGAGCCGCTCTGTAGGCATTGCTGTTTGCTAGCAGTGACAAAGAGGCCCCTTCACACGAAACAAAATCCGCAGAGAACGATGAATCGCGTTCCCCTCCTGAGTGGGCGGGATTTAATTGTGCTCCGTCGCTATGGAAACTCTATGCAATAGTGTTATTATAAAATTAAACTTGATATGAAAGTGTTGTTTTACATATGATGTGAAATAAAATTAAAAAAATAATTTATTTAAAATAAATGTCTGTACTTACATATAAATTAAGTCCAATAAAACTGATTTTAAAATATATGACTACGTATCACTTGAGTATTAACCTTCGACTATGTCTCAAGCACCATTAAGTCATTAATATTCGATTGATTTCCAGGGTTCCACGTGCCAACTGATGCTAAATGCTGACCTCTGAACCTTTGGGAGAGGTAGAAGCAAAGAGACCTTCGGTCTGTGCCGGATGTGTTAGACATGGTGGGCAGGTAACAGGAGCCTTCTGCTGAGGGGAGCGTTTTCTATTTCAGTACAACGACACAAAGAGACACGACGACACACAGGAGGGGAAGAGTGACGCTCAACACTGCCATGGATGTGAGACGCCGACAGGAAGCGAATGCAGCCGTGCAACAGATCACAGTTTGAGACGGGGGTGCGGGAGTGGGACGACAATGTTGTGGTTTCTCAGTTCAAGTGACAGATAACTTGTCACCTACTTCCTTCTGAGTGAGACCCCACATATGCGACGCATAGTCATAAGTCATCGAGATGCCCTCCTCACAATCCTTGAAATGTATGCATTCAAATGTGGAAAGATAGTAAGATATATTTAAGACTCTCGATACTTACTCCACTGATTTATTAAGCTATTCATATGCATCTTGTGGACGGTGGGACAAACGCTGAAGTCTCTGTGCAGAAACTGAGGAGGAACCACATACATGCGATAGGAGATGAGCAGAAGCACAGGCACGGGACTTTTTGACACAAACATCAACTCATACAGTTAAATTGGCTTTCAGGTGGGCCACATAGACATAAACGTGCATAAATGTGCATACACAATTAGTTATAGACAAATAACTATTTGAAATGAGTGACAGATGAGAGTATTTCCTGTCTAGGTGACACCTAAGATCTACAAAAACACTGGCTGTTTAAAAGACAAACCCCCCAATAAAAGAACCTGACTGCAGTGGTCCTAAACAGAGGGATGTTCCTTCTTAGATCATTATTTACAGGGATGAGAAGTCATTTTATAAATAAAATAGAGTGTCGGGAACCAAAACAACGTGTTGAGGGGCTAATATGTATCTTTGAGACCGTCATTGAAAGAAACATCTTTAACACGCATGACGTCACTATGATATTTCTAATCGAAGTTAATCATTTTCTCATTTTAGTCGTTTTTTACTGGTCGTCATTTGTAAAACTTTTAACCAACAAAGTAGAGCAGAAGCAAACAGCGTACTCACGTGAACTCAGTCCTGGGAGGTCGCCCAAATAACAACACCAACAACAACAAACAAACAAAGTAGTCTTCACAGGTGAGGCGCTCAACTACTCTGCATCATAAATCCCTTCTTCCTCGCGCGCTGTCTCTGCAGAAGTCCTCCCCCCTCCCCCGTCCCCCCCCCCCAACCCATGACACGCAGCCCCCCCGTCCCCCTCCGGTGCTTTGCACTCCGTCCCCACAGCGAGCGCGTCCCCGGCGGGCGGCGCGTCCCGTTCCCCCGCGGTGCTGGAGGTGTGCGGTGACCAAACGAGCTCCGTCAATGCAAACGCACCTTTGACGGGTTGTCGTAGGAACCGGAGGCTCTCCCCGTGGGTGGATGTTAACTCCTCTCCCCGTGGGTGGATGTTAACTCCTCCCACGGGGAGAGGAGCAGGCGCGCGCGCGCACAGGGGGAGCGGGTGGTGATGTGCGCGCGTTTCATCCCCGGGTTTATGGAAGATGGTTTATGCCGTCAGGTCAACAAACAAACAATAGTGGTGGAGTGATCACCGGTGTGCGGATGGCGCACAGTGGAGGAGGCGCAGGCTCAGTTGGGCTTCATGTGTAGCTGAGCACGATCTTACTCTTCTTATATTCCCCTCATAAAGTACTTGTTTTCATTTGTCTCTAAATGGGCAGAGACTTCATCCGTTTTGTCTAGTAAATAAACACACAGGTCTTGGGTCAAAAACATTTTAAATGCTTAATAATTGCAATGGGTCATGATATTGTTTTACCTCTTATTTTGACAAGTAAATACAATTTGGAAGAGTTGACATCTTTGAGTATAGTTGGTTTCAAACAGACAAATGTTCACGTTAACTTGAAATTTAGGAGAACTGATAATCTTCATTTGTGGCTTCTATTTGGTATAAAAGCTGCAATTAGAAAGAAAGATAGATATTATCATTTTACATCGGTAAAAAAAAGAATCATTTTTTTCCTGACGTTATGTGAAAGTGAACCTTTGTGAATATGCAGTAAGGATGACGGCGAAGGCCTTAAACAGCCAGAGGTTGATGGCACCCCGGGCTGCTTTTTTCTTTAATACGCGTGAGTGTTGCGTACTCGTTGTAGGCGCGTTGTTGTGTGTTGTTGCAGGTGGATTGTTGCAGGCTGCCACCTGCCGGCGGGCGGACACGCTGCAGCAGCGGGAGGAATCACGACAGCGTCACTCTGCACTTACTGTGCAGTGTTTCTTTTCCTTATTGATGCGAACAAACTTTTTTTTCCTCTTTTAGTTCACTTCAATAATCAGACAAATGCATTTAGTAGTCGGTTTGTATTTTGTATACACTATAGTGTCCACTTCTAAAATATGACGACATAGTTAGAGTTTAAAAGCCCTGCAGTTAAGAGTTTTTATACCACCACATTGTGTGTGCAAGACGTGTCTGTAACTTACAGTGGTGTAGTCTACGTCATACGCAGGTAAACGCCGTATACCCACTAACAAAAGTGCGATGGTACGTAACAACAGCGTTGTGACAGAGCTTTCATTCATAATTCACCTCGTCTGTGTGGTGAAGCGCTGACATTTGGGTCTTCGGGGCTTCCGTCGCCTCGATCTGACGAGGCGACGTACAAGTGCGCGTAAAGACGCAGACGCACGCGCCAGCATTTAGGCAAGCGTTTATCCACACAGGGAGGCTGGGTAATGTGGAGAAAATCAAACACCACAATATGACCCCTTCAAATGTGATATTTTAAGAAAACTGGTCAGTAATTTAATTTGAATATTCTATTGTTAAAATACCAGATAACATCAATTCTCAAATAATATGGATATATTGATCTGCCCAAGAACAAAAGAAAGCTCTTAATCAAGCACACGCGGTCCATCAGTATGAATCAGTGACAAACACCTGAGAACTACAGGTGAGCGGGGTTTTCCAACTACAATACACTTAACATATGGATGTATCAATAACACACAACCTGGAACCTTCCTGTTTTGTCCACGAAAAAAAAATGCTTCTTTGGAGCAGAACTAAATCTTTTGTGCAAAACATATTTCAAAAGAAATTGCAAAACAACTTAAAACAATACTGAGGCAGAAATGTGGAACAATTTAAAAAATATATATGTTTTACAAAAGTGTAGGTTTGCATCAGAGTTTATGGGTCATCCGCGTTTTAACTACGGCAGCAAAACCTTTGGTATGTGGATGTGACTGAGACATATTTTATATTTAAACATGGGATAAAAAAGGACACATTGAAAACATTGCTTTCAATACTTAACCAAGACTTTTATTTTGTCTGGAAGGAAACAGCATTTATTCCAGCATGGCAACCGAAGAGCGATACCAAAAGCTGCAGCAGCAATGATAAGAACACAACAATAGCAGCACTAAGTGACCCCTGATAAATATGAAGGCGTTGGCTTGAAGAATAAATAGGCAGTAAAAGGTCATATAACACTTCTGCATCAGGCACTAAATCTCAGCGCATGCTGCCATCAGCTGGTCGTCATGTGAAACCACAACAACAACAACGACGACATAAAAAGGCACAGAGTTGGAAGACGCAGTATTTAAAAAGGCACAGCGGTCACCTGACCAACAGGCGGCAAATAGAGGCTCCGCTCTGTCAAGCTCTCCCAGCAGCAGCGTGATGCATCCAATGGCTTCCAATGCTTGTATGGCTCCAAGTCATTTAAGGTAACTACCGGTACAGCAATGTGGATTATTTATTTTTTAGTCTTTGGTGTAAACAGCAATTCCTTGGATTAACTTTGGATAATACATTTTAATGCAACGCGGAGAAAGCCTTTCTGAAACAGCGCCACTTTCACGATCCATTAGAGCCAAAACATTGGTAAAACTTTTTTTAAGGATTATCGTGATTACACTAACAATTCAGAATCAGGGTCTGTCTGCAGGAAGTTGGAGGTCTAATACAGACGTGATGGCACCCCGTAATGGTGACTTCAACTTTCTATAAAAAGAGTGTTATAGGATTAGTTTAGTCAGCTCTCATTTGAATTCATTCATCTTTAGTTTTATGTATATTATTACTATTATTATCGCTAACATCTCTATTCCTGATTTTCCTGTCAAGTGGCTTATGAGGACTCTGTCCCCTGACTCATAGACGCGTACATTCTTTACATTCTGTGGCTCCATTGAACCCGTCAGATAAACAGGGAAGTAAGTGTACTTAAAGTTATCTAGTTTTGCTTTTCTTTGACCTGAGGAGGACAAATTGAATAGAGACTGAGACAGAGACAGCCCCACTTCAAGGATTAACTACTCATTCATTTCTTTGCTGACGGACTAATTCATCAAAGCTCCCTGATAATAATAAAACATCTCTGCGTCTCATGGCTTTCCTTTCCGTGTGTGTGTGTGTGTGTGTGTGTGTGTGTGTGTGTGTGTGTGTGTGTGTGTGTGTGTGTGTGTGTGTGGACTTTGCAGTCAGCAGCCGCTTTGGTCCTGGGAGAAGTCTCGCCACATGTGCAGCAGCTGGGACGGCTTAAACCCGTTGGCGAGCACCAGTCGCGCGAAGGCGCACCTGTCGTACTCCAGCTGCCGGACTTCGAACAGGTTCCTGAAGGTCGGCAGGCCGAGTGAGTACACGGGCCGCACGGCCAGCACGCGCAGACACAGCCCCACGTACACGTCCTCCAGGGGGATCGGCCTCACGAACCGGGACGCCCAGGAGATCCTGGGGGCCAGGTCGGCCGAGAAGACGTAGCCCGCCCCGGACACGTACGGCGGGAAGCTGTCCTCCGGGTACACCTCCTTCGACAAGTGCCACTTGCTGTCGCGGCTCCTCCTCGGCCTGCCGTCGCTGATCACCGACCCCGTGATGAAGTCCCGCCCGGGGGAGCTCCTCAGTCTCCTGAGGAGATGGAAGACGTTCACGAAGACGTCGGCGTCCGCCTTCATGGCGTAGGAGGCGTTCGGGCAGTGCGTGGCCAGCCAGCTCATCATCATCATGGTCTTGACCGTCAGGTTTTGGTAACTGTCCTGGAAGTTCACCTGGATGATGTCAGCGCGCGCGCTGCTCTCCTCCTCCAGCAGGGCCTGGACGCGCGAGCCCCGCCCCCCCTCCGGCAGCCCCACGTAGAACAGGGTGAGGGTGTCTTCACTCGGAGCCCCCCACGTCTCCCTGACGGCTTCCCTGGCCGCGGCCTCCGCAGGCGCGACCGGGACCATGAAGACCAGGAAGGGGGGTCTGGTTCGGTCCGCGCACGCGGCCGGCCGGTTGAGAACATACTCGTATGTTTCAGGGGAAACGAGCCGGTATTCCTCCGCGGGAAGGGGACTCGGCTTCGGCGGATGTTTACCAGAAGTCAGACCACTGAGTAAGATGTGCGCCGACAGGAAGAGCCCGACCGCGGCGGCGAACAGCTTCACTAACCTCCGCAGAGAATGTCTCCTCATCGCCCCGAGGTCTCCTGGTGACTCCGGGCTCGCGCTACAACGACTCAAGACCGGAAAAAAAGAAAACCAAAGAGTCCACGAAGTCCCGCCGGGTTTGTGTCGGCGTCGGGAACTACCTGCCGCCGCGCGGAGGAAACCGAACCCACGCGGCGGAGCGGCCGGTCACGTGGTGCGGCAGCTGCTCCGAGCGCCTCTTCCTATTGGCGGCGTTGGATCTTTACATTAACAGTTAGCGTTCACTTATTTCTCCCGAAGTAGTAATGTTATTTGGCTTGAGTTATTATTGTTATTATTATTTAATTATTATATGAATTATATATTAAGTTGTTTTTTTCTAGTCAATTTAGTTTAATTATTATTTTTTGTTATTTAAGTATAAATAGCTGGCTGGTTAAAAAGTGGGGCAATACCGTGCCGATACTTAAAGGGGTAACCAGGGAAAGACCAGCATGCACCGGGGTGAGTCGTAGTTTTTTAACTAGCGTAAGAGATCAGGAATACGATTTATTCTATGTTTATGTGTTTGTTTGCTTGTCTCGTGAGCCAAATAAACATCAAACAAAACGGGAATCCTGCTTGGACAATCGGCTCTCTTGCTGCGTGAAAAAGGAAAGAACCAGTGGCCCTTTGATTGAAGTTGCTAGTTGGTCCTGAGGAGAAATGGCCACTACAGGTGGATCCCATCAATATTTATGGCAGATATCATTTTGGAGGTTGCACAATTCTTGCCTTTCAGTTTCAGTAAACCTCCCAGTATGATGCAATGCAAAAAAGGGTATCAAACACGTATTGTTACTTTGCAGTTATTGTTGTTATAATCTCTTTAATTTTATTGATCTATATAATAATAATTAAAATTGTTGTAATTAATAATAATTACATTATATTAAAATATTATATTGTTGTTAAATGTTTATACCTCTGTTTTACTTGTTTATTTGTAAAAAGAAAATGTATATGGAGGGCAAAGAAAAAAAGGTAAATTGCACGTATGCGTAAGTAAATGTAGAATTCCTCAGTCAGAAATCAAAAGCTCCTGACAGCTTACTACTACTACTACGTTAAGGGGCACAAACCTGTTAACTAATGGTGAATCTGTGTGAGCAACTGAGCAATCTTTTTCCGGTGAAAAAGTTTTTTTTTTAAGCCAGAAGGTGGACATTGAGTCGAGACCTGAAGAACTAAAACGCTGCAACATGTTCCTTTTAAACAAACAGTTTTATTGTAATACCGCTTACACAGAAACACCTGTTGTTCACCCAGTTATAAACAAAGAAAACAATAAAAACAAACTTAATTTACGCAGGCATTCTTTAGAAGGTCAGTGGTTTAGTATGCCGCTGTGGACGGGGCTGGGGAGAGGGAGGCGGCAGTGGAGGCCAGAAACAGAAAGTAGCTCTCTAGTTTTGGCCTGTTCACACACTATTTTCATCATGTCCAATATAAAATCAGTTTCAATTGGCTGGATTTTTTTTCCACGTTTTGCGCATCGACATCTTTAGTGTCAACAACACAGAACGGTCTCTCGTTCCACATTTATGTACTGTATTCACATTTTGCACACAAAAAACAAAAATTATCACCTTGTTTCGTTTTATACTAAATAACAGGTCCTGCCTCAGTTCACAAGAGAAACAAAACAAATGGAAAACATCAGCTGTTCTTTTCAACACTGTGGCTGTAAGATGATGACTTTAGGGGCTTACATGATGAATGGAAACATCGCCATTCGCGTGGGGACATGGGAGGGGGCGGGTAAAACACTTTTTTTTTTTCTCTTTTCATTTCCATCTCTAATGCGTCAGATGTTGGGAGATAAGGGAACATTGGGAGGATAAAGTGACACTGAGACAAGTTGAGCGCAAAGACAACAAAATGGCAAGTTAGACGGAGGTATCGGACATCTGAGCAATGCCGTCTGCGGGGCATGCCTCTTCAAATGTTTAAATCGGACGCGTACGTGTACAGTGCTGTACAAGGAATAGAATTTATATGATAATCCAGTTGAATTATCACCGTATTATCGGCCCTGAACTTAAACAAGACCACATTGTACTATAAACAGTCTGTAAAATCCCAAATGTGTATGTATTAATCTGTACACAACATAATGCCCAAGCTGCGCAGTTGCCTCCTCGCAAATACTGCAACACAAGAGACGGGATCGGAAGGATGGAGTTGGTCTTGCTCTCTTCGGTGCACGTGTAGGATCCGCGTGGGCTTGATCTATGTCCGGTTCGTAACATACCCATCTGTTTTCGCACCGGCCGCACTTCCACGACCGTATCACGGGGGGGGGAGAGGGATTGTGGCTGGTCTGTGGGCAATCGGGGGGCCGGGGGATGGATGTTTTGTTGGGTTTTGTTTTGCTTGGAGGCAGTGGCTTTGGTCGCTGCAGGGTGTGTTGGGTGAGGGAGCCGGGGTGGTTCATGGGGAGTCCAGACGGAGTAGTTGCAGTGTTGTTGGTGGTGTCGGTGGATCGTCTATGACCGTTTCCTCCTCCCCTCCAGGTTCCTGAAGTTGGACGGCCTGATCTTCATCTCAGCAAACTCGATTGAGTGCTCATGGCCTTTCCAGTGGAACCAGTTCACACCCTAAAGGGCAAGATAGGGACAAAGAGTTGTGTCCATGTCAGTACTTGTCCCACACTACAGCCAAAGCAACCCCAGCGATATTGAACTCTAGTGGAAACCTCAGACTACGTCCAATGCCAACACTTTTACGTCTTGCTTTTTGCAATAAATGAATGTAACCACTCTGGTATGGCAAAATGTTCTTGTGGCAAATGAACTGTAAAATATATTTTACATGTGGTCTAGCAAATACATCAACCCATTTTCCCTCCCCACTCTTCAAACATCCAGAGCCTGTTCATTGGGCTTTAGCCTCTAATACTGATGCAGTGAGCGTCTGTATCAGAGCTTCCCCACTTTCAACTACAGTACCAAGCAAAAGTTTGGACACACCTTCTCATTCAATTGAACTTGGTCTTTTCAATCTGTGTGTGACGACCCCCAAGAACGGAAAACCAGTGTCACTTCCCGTTTTATTTTCTGACCAAACACCTAACCTTCACAAACCACTTTACTTCTCTCGTCTTTGTTTGTTTTTTTCGCGCTTCCTTTCCTCCACACAAACTGGTTTAACTGGTTCTGTATCTCTGCTGCGAACCAAACCGCCTCATAGGTAAGCAAAAGGAGCAACTGACGTTGTTGGAATATCGGAGACATGGGAAAGGTTTCCCTCAAATGATATGAGCATCATTAGCTTGGATTTTGTAGAAGGTTAAGCTGTTTTTTTTCATCTTGCTGTAAATACCTTTAGCAAAATAATTAACACAAAAGGTCATTGAGCAAACAGTCATAAATGAGCACACAATATTAGGCCGATGGATCCGGTAGAATGGGAGAGAAACCATGGACGGACAGACGCGCGGCCAAAAGCATGATCTGTCCACATCGCGCCTGGCGGAGTTAGTGAAATGAAACCAGCTTAAATTCAGCTGACTATCCTCAGAAGTTCTGGAATGCTCTCATTTCAAAGACTTATGTAACTCCACCAAGGCCCCTCAGTGACCCCAGGAAGCCCCTTAAGGACCCTACTTGTTGAATCCCCTTACAATTGAGGCCGTACAGTAAGTGCACCAGAGGAACACTGTACCTTGCTGTGACTGTTATCTCCATATCGTCCCATGAGGTTGACACGGTGGCAGTTCTTGTACCAGAAGGCTCCCTTATAGGACTGGGCACAGTTGGTGACAGCGATGTCGTTATCGTGGTCGTAAGTGGAGAAGGGACGGCCGTGGTGGTAGGTCATAGAGTCACCTACAAGGACACACAACGGGGAAGCTTGCTTTTAATGAATAGCAATAATGAACATGATGTTATGGTCTGAATCTCTAGTTTCAAGTTGTGCATGATGTTTTTTGAGTAATGTGAGTAAGTCGTCCATTTACAGTCAAATCATAAGGCCGGGAATGGTTTAAGGCAGAACTAAAGTGCTTCAGATATTAAACAGAAACTATATTTTAATGATCTATTAAGTACACGCTTTGGCTTTAGCTTTTCTGCATAATCTTCTAATACTTAGGCACATTTTTGCAAACAGTCTTTTGCACCATTGCATGTAATTGTACATCTTGGAAACAGTCACTCATGAACCATGAGCAACAAACTAAGCTAACAAACCTAGCTTGCACTCAAACAACAAAAGTCATTTGCCGTGTGTATTAGAATAAAAGTAACAGGTTTGGCTGCAGGCCACACCGGTCAACTCTACCTGCTGTTCCACTGTATCCTCCAACGTGGACCTTGTAGCGGGTTCGAGGTTCAGAAACAGAGAACTTGTCGTATTGAGCGTAGGCTGTTTCTCCCTTATCTCTCAGGTCCACTCTCAGCTCATACTGACCTCCGGTTGTGATCTTATGCATGTTGGAAAGACCTGAGGAAGAGGGATAAGTCAGTGAAGTGTATCTATTTCTTGCAATATGTTTAATTAAAGCAATAGTAAGAAGTGCTCTCGGTAGGGTTCAGATCTCCCTCCGGCTTGTCTCCAACTAAGATGACTTTCATTTCCCAATCGTTTCTCCCCACTGGCTCACTTTCAGTCAGTCAATGTATAATATATGTAGAGTCAATGCAACCAAAACAGGGATTTCTCCATCTTGTTTTAGCTGATCATTAACCATCAGGAATGGAGTCAAGCTTAGTTTAGACGATTATCAGAATTGCTGTTTGGTACTCAAGCCGTTTTTTAGTCAGCAGCCAATAATGTATTAAAAAGTTTGTGTCATCACAGGCAAAAGGTTCGGTTTATGGGTCCAGAAGTATGTAAAATGAGGCATGAAAAGACACAGAATCTCACACACACACGTTAGAACACACACAAGGCAGAACACATGGTCTCACCTGATGGAGATAATGATTATAATAAAGTTGATCAATGTAGGATCCATGGAATGCATTAATGTAATCACACACTTTGGATGCCACTGAATGATACAATTCCTTTTTGATAAATCACCTTAATCTCGAGCAAAACAGATTATATCACAATACACTTGCAACAATACTGTGCTGTGCTCTGATTTATTTCTTTATTTTTGTAATTACCCAGCCAGAATTCATCATTCATGTCACCGAAGCCTCCTGTGTAATTCTTCCAGTTGCGGAAAAACTCCAATCTGCCGCTTTGCCGTC